GTTTATCTTCATTAGGACAATGGAATGGGCTCAGAGGTCTGGGTGTGTTGAAGTTTTAGATGTTCATCCATCATTGCTGTATAAACACTTTTGGTTTTGTGATTGTCATTTTGACAATGACCAGTATGTGGATCCTAATAAGAGGAAGCGAACGAAGTGGAAGGCTGTCCCGATGTTTGTTAAAGATTGTGCATTGACATATGACCAGTTAATTGGGTACTGTTTAAAGTTCAATATTGGAAATGAGGTGAGTTTCTTATTATATTTGAAGGGAGTAGTATAAGCTTACCTAAGTTTAATTGTTGTTATCTGGAACATTTTTGGAATATCTGGGATGTGTTTAATCCTAATAATTTAATGAAGGTACTTGATAAATTAAAAGGAGTCAATGAAGATACGGACACTGCTTCTGAAGAGGAAACTGTATCTGTAAGTGTATTTTTACAACTGCAATTATTTTCATAGTAATGGAATGTGTTATGGATATATACTTCTTTATTATTAGATTGAATGCAATAGAAGCACCATGAACTTGGATGATGTAGTGCCCAATAAGAGAGCAAGGTTTGACATTATAACTGCTCCATCAAATGTTGTTGTTCATGATCATGGGTACTATGGTACAATGGTTCATGATCATACGAGTGTTGATTCTGATACTGACACTGCATCATCAGAGGAAGACATTATGTTGGTATGTAATGTATTAGTGGTTATTGCATGATATGAGTGTCTACGTTGGTGTTATTGCTCTGATTTATTTTATCTTTGTATTTTTAATTTTTATGTAGGTATGCGGTAATGGTTCAGAAACTGAAAATGATCACATACCATTTTCAGTATTTCCTGATGAAGTTGTTGTTAGCAGTGTGCATGTATGTAATTTATTTAATAATATTATTTTCAAGTTTGGAGCACACATAGTTTACTGGGATTATTTTTGACTCATTTTTTTTTTACATTTATATTTTAGTCTCATGAAGATCCATGTTTGAATACTTCACAGAGGATAAAGAAGAGGTGTTTTGTCTTAAATTGTGATCATAATAATACTGATTCACATATGTATTCTTTTCCTAAAGTGTGGAGAATTTTAAATGGTCAAAGAATGTTGGATGAATTTAATCGGTTTTTGTGTGTACAAATATTTATGCATTAAGAATGTAATTGAATAATACTAGGCAGTTGTGACTAATACATGTTTTGTGCAGGTGCATATCGTGGATGAAGGCTTGTGGTAATAAGAATTTGAAAAATGTTGAAGACATGTATAAGTTTTGGGTATGTGAAAACCATTTTGAACATGGTGATTTTCAGAGCTGTATGAGGAAGAAGCTGAGGCCCAGTGCAGTTCCTGTTTTAAATCTTCCACCCAAATTAACAGATTCTGACATTGTTTTATTTTTGTCTGAACATGCTGTAGAACATGGCACACAACATAATGGTAATTATAGTAATGAATACAAATTATGGGTTCCCGGTATATGCAAATTTTTATTTTAGACATACCTTTAGTACCAATTAAATCATCAGCAGGCTGGATATTTTATGGATTTGACTGAAAAGTTTTTAAAATTATGCTGTAATTTTTAATTTTAACAGTAGTTTGTTTAAGTCTTTCTAAAATTGTATCTGTGAATTACAAATTAGATTGATTTTGTGTGTCTTGAAGTGGTTTAATATTGTGTAATGAGTGTGTAGTCATTTGTAATTGAAAAAATGTTTCTTTTTGTTTTGTTTTAGATGACCAAAACAACACTGATATTTTAAGTAGACTGCATCCTCCAAAAGCTAGAGAGGCTGCAATGAAATTTGAGAAAGAAATGAAAGACCTGGACTGGCATACATGTGACATCTGTTTTGAGAAATTTTTGCACAGACCGACTTTGAATAGAAATAAAACTCATAGATCAAGAAAATCGTGTTGGAAATTTTGTCAAGGTAATTTGATGCATCCAGGTGAAGTTCCTCCTGAGCTTCAAGATTTGTCTTTTGTGGAAGAGCAATTGATTGCCCGTATTCATCCAGTCTTAAGTGTGTATAAGTTGAAGGGTTGTCAGTACGGATATTCAGGTAATGTCATCAATTTTGCTCAAGATGTTAGTCATTTTGCAAGTCAGCTGCCACACCGTATTGAGGACATTTCATCAATAATAACTGTGAAATTTGAAACTTCTCATGGTGATGTTATTGATTTTCGAGTAAGAGCTAAGAAAGTTTTGAATGCTTTAAAGTGGTTGAAAGCTAATAACAAGCACTATGAGCATATAGAAATTTCATCTGAAAATCTTAATCTTTTACCTGAAGATGGCAATGTACTTGAACAAATTTCTACTATGGACATTGATAGGAGTAATGATGTTGATGAAGACAATGGTGACATTGAACAAGATTTGAATGAAGAATGTAGAAATGTTAGTAACATTCAAAATTTTGAAACTTCAGGAGTTTTATCTAATACAATTGAGAATCAGGATAATCAAGTTGAATCATCATTCAATTGGCCTGTCTTAAGCAGTGAACCAGTGAATGAATTTAATTCATCGTTTGTGATGTGTGCTTTTCCTACACTATTTCCATATGGCAACTGTGATTTACATGAAGAAGGTCGTAGCTTGAAAGTAAAGCTTCATGAATACATGAAACATTTCATGAATTTTCATGATCAAAGATTTGCTCAACATAAAACTTTTAGGTTCTTTGCCTTCAATATGTGGATGCGTCACAGTGCTATTGCTGATGGTAATGTGTATGTGAAGAAAAACAATGATATAGCACAAATGAATGTTAGTGATATGAATCAGTTTATTCAAGAAAATCCATCTGAATTACATAAACTTATGTTTATTGGTTCTAATTTAAGAGGTTCCAAACCCTTTTGGAAGAGCCGCTGTGGGGAGTTGAAATCTATGGTGGAGCAGCTTGGTCTGCCTACAATATTTTTGACTTTAAGTGCTGCTGATTTATATTGGCCAGATTTGTTTAGGTTGTTGTCTGACAAAAATTTAGAATCCATTTCTATGTTTGAAAGGCGCAAATTACTACAAAATAATCCTTTGGTGGTTGACACATTTTTTAAATACCGCATAGAATGTTATATTGAAAATGTAAGGACATCTGATGTGTTAATGTGAATGTAAAAGTTAAAGTTAGAGCTGACGTTTCTTAATTTTTTTAATATTTTTTTTTTTTCTAGGTGTTAAAACCTGTGTATGATGTTGAAGACATGTGGTATAGGATTGAGTATCAACACAGGTATAATAGCTGCATTTCATTTTAATATGAAGGGGTTTTCTCAACTTGGGGAATGTTCGAATTAATTTTTAAACAAACTGAAATTTGTAATTAGGTAACAGTCTTGTTACTGATGCGTTTGTTTTATTGATTTGCAGAGGTTCACCGCATTTACATGGATTATTTTGGTTAAAAGGAGCCCCAGATGTTTCAAAATATCAAAGTATGAATCTTTCAGAGAAAGAAGAAGTACTGAAGTACTATGAAAATCTAGCAACTGCTGTTATACCTGACAACAATTGTGTATATCCTGAGCAGCACCCAGCTGAAATTTTTTTCAAAGATATTATTGATGATAATATTGATCTTTCCCAAGTTCTAAAAAAGATGCAGTTCCATACAAAATGTCGAAAGGGTTATTGCTTAAGGCAAAATAGAAGAACTAAAAAATTGGAGTGTCGTTTTAAATTTCCAATGGATATAAATGATCATGCTGAGATTCGTATAGTAGAAGATTCTGCTGAAATTGAATTCATACCTCAGAGGAATCACCCACATTTGAATAAATTTAATCCATTTATAATCCAGTCCTGGCGTGCCAACATTGACATGGCACCTGTTTTATCTAAGAGAGCTATTCTTGATTACATAGCAAAGTACATATCCAAAAGTGAAGTACATTCAGTAGCACTAGCAGATATTTGTAAATCAGTTTTTAATTCAGTACCAGGTCATGACAATGCAAAAAGAGCTATTTTCAAAATTTTAATTAAGAACTGTGTTGAACGTGATGTTTCTGCCCAAGAAGTTTGCCACATTCTTATGGGTCACAAGCTACATTCAGCTGGTGGCCGTGATTTTGTTGTGGTTAATACAACTGAGTCGGATTGGATTCCCTTGGAACACAATGAAAATGTGAAAGTTGGAAGAAGCATCTTACAGAAGTATTGTGAACGTCCTGATCATCTTCAACATTTAACATTGTGGAATGCAGCAAAATTCTACAATTGTACTGCTTGGAAGAAACTGAAAAAAAAAAGTAATGTTGTTAGAGTATTTCCTAGATTAAATTTATGTGATGATGAGCAGAAAAATGAAGGTTTTTATCGACAGAAGGTGTTACTATATTCAGAGTGGAGAAGTGAAGGAGATTTTAACCTTGTAAATTCCTCATGGAAAATATTGTATGAGTCTATTAATATTAACAGGAATGTAGTTGATTTAGGTGTTGTATCAGCACCTGATGAAGATTTTGTTGAAGAAGATGCTGAAAATACAGCTTGTAGCAATGAAGACTGGATGATTGCATCAAGATTGACTAATAACCAAAGCACAATTGAAAATGTTGAGTTGGGAAGGAGGGAAACTGATATTAATTATGATTGGACCTTGGCTACTAAAAAATATGAACAGTATGGTGATTTGAAGTATTTTGAAACATTTATTGAAGATCAAAAGAAACAGGATAATAATTTACATATTGTAGAAGAAGAGTTACCTACTGTAGTTTTCAGTGAAGAACAAGAAAAAGTAAAAAGAATAATGGATGATCAAATACATGATATTCTTCATCCTGGTGAAAATAATTCAACACCTAAACGTATAATTGTACAGGGGAAAGCTGGTTCTGGGAAGAGTTTGTTGATTCGATATTTAACATCAAATTTAAGGAAACAATTTGGTGCTAATAGCTTCCTTTTACTAGGCCCAACAGGTGTTTCAGCAGTTAATATAGGTGGATCTACTGTGCATTCTACATTTATTATACCACCCAATCGCAGCAATTTTAAAAATCTGTCAGGAGAAAAAGCCAGATTATTTTGTGATATGTTCAAAAACATTAAATTTATCATCATAGATGAATATTCTATGTTAGGTTCTGCGATGATGGGTATGATTGACAAACGATGCCGAGAAGGATCTGGTATAGTAAATGAGCCATTTGGATCAATCAATATTTATTTATTTGGTGATATTCGTCAATTGCCACCTGTAAAGGATTCGGCCCTGTATTCCACCATCAAGCATAGTGATGTCAATTTTGAATTGAAGCAGCATGGGAAAAATGCATTTGATTCTTTTCAAGTTCATTTAGTTTTAAAAAAATGTTTTCGCCAAAATGATGAAACTTTTAAAAATTTATTAGACCGTGTTAGCAATGCTTCAGTTACAAAAGAGGATTTTTCAATGCTTCGTAGAAGATTTTCAACCAATTTGTCATTGCAAGAGAAAAATCAATTTAGTGATGCCATTCGTTTATTTTCCAAAACTGAGTTAGTTGACGAACATAATTTGAAAAAACTTCAAGAGTTGAAAGATTGTGATGGTAATCTTGTTCCAATTGCTCGCATCCCTGCAAACAATAATGGAAAAGCATCTAAAATTCAAGAGGCAGAAGGCTTACAAAATATTTTATATTTAGGAAAAGGTACAAGAGTTATGTTAAAAACAAATTTATGGACAGAGAAAGGTACACACTCATGGTGAATTATTTTTTGAGTTTAAGTGTTTTTAATTGAAATTTGTGGTAATGTTTAAAATTATTCTAAAGGTTTAGTTAATGGAGCTGTAGGCATTGTTGAGGACATTCTATACAAAGATGGTTCTCAACCACCAATGAACATGCCTTCTATTATTATGATTAAATTTGACAAGTATGAGGGACCTGGAATTGGACCAAATAATGTTGTGCCCATTAGAGCAGTAACAAGATCATGGTCAAGTAGTTCTGGTGTTTGTTCAAGACAACAATTTCCTCTGGTTGCAGCTTACGCATGTTCCATTCATAAATCTCAGGGATTAACATTAGATAAGGTATGGATATTAATCTTATGTGATATTGTTTTAATTTTAATAATACAAGAATTTTATTATTTGTTTTATCTTGCTCGTAGGCTGTTGTTGACATTGGAAGAAGAGAATTTGCTTTGGGTCTCACATATGTTGGTTTGTCTCGTGTGAAAAGCATAAAAGGACTAATTTTAGTGCCTTTCACATATGAAAGAATTTCAACAGCAATTAGTAACAGGCCAGAGTTGGTTCAAAGGAACTTACTTGAAAGATTGTGTGAGTAATTGAATTCATATTGTTGTTGAAATTTACTTTAGTTTTCTTAGTATGTGGTATGTGTTTTTGTGTTGAACAGTCACTGAAGACAACTGAATGAGGAGCAAGGATGTTGTGAAGTAAGTATTTCCATTATTTTTATTCTGATAATTGTAATAAAATAAATTTACAATGATACCAGGATAAGGGTGACTTTGCTTTTTATGTTAATTCTTTGTTTACCTTAACCAATTCATTAATCTAGGTTAGGTTCTATGGCTTTTCAAGTCGTGTATGAGAACCTTCGTGAGGCATTTCAGTGTCTTACTGTCAGATAATCATCATCAAGATAAAATAATTTTCATTAATCGCCCGGAGGGCATTAAGCTCAGCCTTAAGTCTACGACTTCAACTAGTATAAAACCAAACAAAAAAATATTTTTCGATTTTGAAAAGAAAATATTTTGAGGATGGCTGGTGGATATGTAGTGGATAATCGAGTGGATGCATCCATATCGAATCACGGAGGAATCCACTTCCGTTTTCCCGTGGATGATCGACTCGATGGTCTTTATCGAATCCACGGTTGACGCCCACGTCTTATCGATATCGATTCGATGGAACTGTTCCCATGGGGCACACCTTACAGATTTATTATTATAAAAAACACATTTGAAGTAAATGGATGTACCTGTTTCCAGGCTCACATGATAGGCATGGGTTCCATCTCCAGCATGGTAATAATGAGTGTTTGGACGATATCCGTTTTCCCGTATAAGACGCATTATTCATTCAATAGGCGTTCGAAGACAATTACATTAACAGGCGTAAACAAAACATTTAAATTGTGATATCTCTAATGAACGACGAACATCAGCACTCAGCACCTAACCTCTTCAGTATGACCTTTGGTGAATGACTGTTCAATTCAATTAGGTTATGAATGTGTAGGATATAAACTTGCAGAATAATGAAAGCTAAGTCCGTATCTTTCGCACTATGGAGAAGGCCGAACTCAGGTGGTCCTCGACTGGTTGTTGATTTGACTGAAATAACGGACAGGTCCTCGCGGTTGCACAAGAGTAAGGAGTCAACACAACACCAACATCGAAAAGCAAAAACAGCTGTGGATGTGCTTTTGTTCGCCTCTAAAGAATACACTCTGTTTCACGAAGTAATGGATAAACAACTTATTATACAACCGGGACCGATGTGTCCTGTTTAAGTGCACTGCAAGACTGTTTCAAGGAGCTCCCGGGAACGCAGTTAAGTGTCTGTAAGGTTGACTGCTTGACGCATATGACGTCACCCAGCATCCCAGCGATATAGTGCGACCAGCCAAAGGTCTGGAAAAGACCGCCTCCCCGCCGGCGGGGCTCGCCGGGAGCCCCCTCCACGTCGCCCGCTCGGCCAAATGTCCAAATGGAACCCGAACCACTGCTCGGGCCTGTTCGGGCGGTGCTGGGTCGCTCCCGAGCCGAGCGGGCGACGTAGGCAAGACGTAGGGGGGCGCCCCGCGAGCGCCGCTGGCGGGGAGGCAGCGGCGTACGGTAACAATGTTCCAGACCTTTGGCTAGTCGCACTATACTTCCGACTTCGTGTACACTTCTCCCTTCAGGCCCGCACTACACCCCTTGCCTGGCTCGGCATCGGCTGGCCAGCGCTTCGCTCGCCCCGCTTCGGGCCCCGCTTCGGCTCGGGCCCGCCGAGGCACCTCAACTTAAAAAAAAAACAAGAAGAAAAACAGGGCATCAAACATGTTTGATACAAATGGAGAAACCGCGTTCTTTACATATGCTTGGTATGGTGTAATTTAGATCTGGTGTAAAGGTTAAAGTGTTGAAATAATGACTATCTCTATCAAGATCTATCAAGAAATTCAAACAGAACTGAACACCCGCCACAAATTGTGCTGCGCTCTATTGGCGCTGAAGTAGAACTACGGCTGCGGCCACGCTCTCCGCTGTAGTTCGCTCTTTAGTC